TAAACAAATAAAATATTTCTTATTCTTGGGTTAGGTTTTCCAGATCGTAGTCCGTCCACGAAGTGTTGACTGCACGCTGCACGTAGCCTGTTCGGGTGCTAACTCAGTACCAGATTTAGTTCCGGCATCCGGTTCCATAAACTACCGAGTTGCTCTCTGTTCTAGAGTGACACTTAAGTAATGTCACTTATGATTGGTGTGCCAGCTGACGGCAGAAATGCCGTTCACTTTTGTCAATTGGCCTTTCGATTAGTAATGGTTTTGAGAACATCGATTCTTTTGTAAGCACGAAATATTTATTCAATATCGTATTCTTCAAATAATGATTGTTCTAGTGGTTAATTATTTATTGTTGTTATCATTAGTTTTCAGTTGTTTTCATTTTTCTCTGATTATATCGCAATTTTTGGTACTTAAAACTTGCCTTATCTCTATTCCTCAAATCTAGGACAGCTAATTAATTCCTTGTGGTACTTCTTCCTTTTACGATTTGGTTATTCCGAGAAAGGGTCTCTTTTACGTTGCGTTACGTTTTCGTCAAGTTCCATAATTTTGCGGATAATTTCGGATTTTTAAAAACCATTTAAGTAAGTTTTGCTTTGCACATTTTCGCATATATTCTTTAAAACTGGAAGCTAACAAAACTTTATCGCAGCACTTTAAAACATTTGACGATTTAGTAGTTGAATTAGCATCAGCGAGAGGAAAAAAAAATAATTTGGAGATAGTAGCTGCGTTGTTAAACAGTCTTCCCGTATCCTATGACAATGTTCTGACAGCAATTGGAACATTGGCAGAAGACAATATCACAGTCGAGTTTGTGAAAATTAGACTACTAGATCGTGTAGAGAAAATGAGAAATCAAGATCGTGATACAAGTGTAAAAGTATTACATATTGATGCCGATAATACCCTGTTTCAGAATTATAATATTGGATTTAATAGAAGGCAAAAAAACAATTTTGGCCGTGGGCAATATAGAAACCGCAAAAGGTAGCATGGAAAACGATTCCCGAGAAGTGTTCCATCTTATGCAAGAAGATTTTACTGTATTTGCAATCATGTTAATGAAGAAGCTTCTCTACCTTGATTCGCAATCTGTTATTATGTATTATGACGAGAGAGGAACATATTCGCTCTATTTATGAGGATGAGTGGATTCAGAGATTTTGGATCAAAACTTTTCTCTCTGACTTAAGATGACAATTATTAAAAGACACTTCTCAAGAACTGCTTTGTTTTGTTGAATGCACTGGACTACAAAAGATATATCACAGAGGGAGATTTCCAATATTCAGTGAAAAGGCGCTTTTAATGAGTTTATGGTGGTTAGGAAAAGACGAATCTTCGAATTCCTTTGTTGAATTCCATTGCTGACCGCTTTGAGCTCGCTTCATGGACTGTCTACCACTACAATTTAAAAATTCCATAGAGGCAATTTCAGTAACTTTCAAAATTCATTATGTTTTCAATTTGAAATACCAAGTGCAATCTAAAGTTCTTTGGACTTCCATTCAAGTTTATTTTTTTGAAATTGATGAAAAAATTTCACCTACATCTGTTTCAACTTTGATACCTTTCCTCGAATCAGAAGAATTCATCGAACGAAACAGTCTTCGCTATTTCAACTGTTTGTTTCTACAGCAATGTATTAGAATCACTTCTGTTAAACTAATATTATTCATCGGGGTTTTTCGAGGTTTTCGTGTTTTTTTTTGCAAACAAACATTCCTAACAATACATCTACGCATTTTTTCCAAAATGAAGGTATCAACATCAACTAACGTCGTCAAAAATTTCTTGTCGAAGAACTCAACAAACCTGAATATTTAACAACAGCGTGGTTTTTAGACCAGGTGGAGAAATGGTTTTATTTGATGACATCGAGGCATCCATCTTGTGCCCTAAGCAAATTTGATAAACAGGTTTATGATTAAACTTTAAATTTTTCACAACATATTCACACAAATAGAGGTTGCCTATAAAAAAAAATTGGAAACCTTGTCAAACAGGCGTTCTCATATCAACATATTCAATATCAGAACTTCAGTCGGATTTATTAAAAAATAAGCGATATAACTCTGCCTGCCTTCTTCAGTCTTTTTTTTTTGCACAATTTTGTGGAAAAGTGTAAAAAAATATTGTTTTTTCTACGAGCGTGGGCAGAATAGGTACTTTCCACACACAATTTAATTTTGCGCACTAGTGCGGACAAGAGTTAATTTTGCGCACTAGTGCTGACAAGGTTCAAGTCTGAAAAAGCACCAGTAAAAATATATTCATGAACCTACCATAAAAATTATTGCATGACATTTGCCGTCATTGTTCATTGGTCAGTGTCAAAAACAACTTTTCTTTGGCCGTCATTTTAACATCTTTAGTCAGTTTAAACCTAGATATCGTGAAAAAAATGGAAGAACTTGAAGCAGAAGAAAACGAGGAAATCCCACAAAATAATACCGCAAAGATCGTCCCAAAAATATGAAAAGCAATATGCAGAATTTTGCAAGTGGTGTGATATGAAAATAAAGTGAAGCCCTTCAAAGAAGAAGACAAGTATTCTTGGCCTATTTGTCTGAACAAGTAAAAAATATAAGCTTCCAACGTTATGGTCAAAGTATTCGGTGCTGAAACTATGTGTGTGTTAACATTCCGAATTCAAAATATCATACTGCCAGAGATTTTGTGATAAAATCTGGAGCCAAATTGTTACGATAAATTTATCATTTCTTTTTTTCATTTTCATTTTCTTCCATTATCCTAGTAATAACATGACACCTACATACATTGACATTGCCATCAGCAAAGGACTCAGGGAACTCTCAGATCTCGTCACCATCAACGCCCTGAGTTCAGATCACTTACCCAACTTCTTCACCTGTGGCGAACTTGATCCTCCCCGCCCACAAGTTCGCCTAAGTTACAAAAACTTGAATTGGCCCCTGTTTCGGCAAAATCTCAACACCATAACAAAAATTCCTGATCAATTTGACACCATAGACGCTCTTGAGCAAGAGGTTTCAACCTTGACCAGGAATGTCCAGCAGATCCAAAATTCCCTTGCTAACCGAGTTACTGTTCACCAAGGCCGTGACGAACTCTCCCGAGAGCTCTTGGATCTTATTTCACTGAAGAATCGCACCCGGAGGAGGTAGCAACGCCTCCGAAGGGACGAGGATCGCCAACGAATTCGGGAACTCGAAGGTGCCATTAAAAATGGCATCAGCGAGCTCCGAAACTGTAGATGGACAGAAATATTCGTCGTCAAAATAACTCTATATAGCGCCTTCAGTCAAAAATAAGGCGGCAGCCTGTGCGCAACCCTGCTCTTACTAGTAATGACAGGGTTTGCGTCACTGCCCCAGACAAGGCCGAAGCTCTGGCTTCTTTCATGGAGAGCATTTACTCCGGACTCCCGCCCAACTCCCCTGAACAGGAGGAAATCAAGCGTACATCGACAGCCTTTGCTATTAGGAAGTACCCCATTAGAAAATTAGAGCAGTAGTTTGTCAACGCGATGTACAAGCGAAACGTAAGATGCTGGGCCTTCTTTTGAAGAAAGAGAAAGATTCTGGGAAAACTAAAATCTCGCAAATTGTCCTGAACAACCTTGACTTTACTGTTGAAAAGGAGGGAATTGATAAGTCTATTTTATCTTTTACAAATATTGTTGATGATTTCGAAGGTACTGTTCAAGATTCTACCTTTCTTCGTATGAAATCTCGTTTGGTTCATGTTTCCAATAGAGTTCATCGTATGCCAATATCTGTTGGAGATAAAGATCCACTTAATTAAGTCAAGGAATGCTATGCAACTTCTTTGACGTTAGAAGCCGATCTTTATGAAAAAGCAGAGAATCCTTCTCTGCCTACGCCTTTATCGCCTGGAACATCAATTCAGCAGCCCATATTCAATATCCCACCTCCTATAGTTAGTAGCTCCAGTAAAGCTCCTTTTGTCAGTGATTGGCAAATTAAATTCAATGGCGATGGTAAAACCTTGTATAACTTTTTGGAACGTGTCACAGAATTAGCTGAATCTCGTAGGGTAAATGAAAATAGCTATTTACCTAACAAGTGCGGAAAATGAATTTTTCCGCACGCGGCTGCCGTTCACCGAACGACGCGTAGCGGAGTTCGGTGATGCGGAAAAATATTTTCCGCACCCGTATAAAAAAAAAACAGATCGAGCCTCAAACATTAGAAATAATCTTACCTCTAACTAAGGGATACTCTAGGCCAAAAGTGAAGCCTTAAACTTCCAAAAGCTGCTCGGAACGATCCTATTGAAGAAATGGAACACGTGTTGTAGGTAAATAATTCCTGAAGAAAATCTCAAAACTTACCGAAACAAAATCCGAAAAGACCAAGGGACAACTTTAGACAATGATCAACAAGAAATTAGTCTAACTTGAGTTTCCCCGGGCACAAAATTCCAAAGTCTTGCCTGAAAATAATTAGGGCCAAGACCGACCATACACCATGAGGTCATAAAATCAAAAGGGCAGATTCTTCCTCTTAGATTTGGAAAGGGGGCTTCCAACGTCAAACTTCTAATTTTGACATTGATGAAAATTAAGAAAAGGGCGTGTTAAGTTTCATCCCAAAAATACGAACTGGAAGGTGGGTTGTCTATTAATGACTCTAGATAACCGGTGACTGTTGAAAATTGCCTATAGAACCTATATCAAAAAGTAGAACAGGAGTGCGTTCATAAAATACACACAAAAGACGCTCTGTGTGATTAATCGCTCGAATATCGTTCATAAATTAATCGAGCCTTTTTTTCTGTCATTTTCATTCCGTTCATAAATGTTTTAAATTAAAACCCGGAGTGCGCCCCGCTTGTTCGAATTTCGCCGCATTGGAATGCCCGGCGAAATGTTACTCGACATGTGCAATTGTCATTTTTGTCAAAAAAAAAAAAATGAAAATGTGAGGTTGTTTTCCGTCGGCGTCGAGATTATTTTTCGTTTTGTTAAATTTGTTTTGAAGCAGAGTTTTTGAAGCACGGTTGGAAGTAAATCTTTACTTATTAATAAAGAAAAATGGCCAGTGTTCAATCTTCCGATTCTTTCGATATAAATAGTGATAATTACACTGTGGTGAAACTAGATAATGGGGAATTGCTGCAATCTGAAGATGGCAATATTTTCGTTCAAAATCGTTTTAGTAAGTATGATATTATTATAGGCTGTGATTAAATATTGGATTAAATACCTTCGAAGTTGTCCATCAGGCATACCTATTACCTACTACATAGTATAGTGTATTGTTCAAACTTCTAATTAAATAAATCATGGATAATTATTTACTAGAAATTATTCGCCATGTATATTATAATTATATATAAATTATTTATGTATTTTAGAAAAAGGCATTGCACATTAATTGATTAGCTTTACCTTATTTGGAACATGTTCGAGTATCAGATAAATAAATAATATGCATAATATGTATAATTTTGTAGTTAATCTCTAGTAAGGAACGGTTTCTCAATAGCCAGTCACCCCCGGGTTAAGCTAACTCCGGGGTAAACATTGCAACTTTACACGTTAACCCTGGAGTTGAAACCAACCTGGAGGTGACTCGCTATTGAGAATCCGGCCCTAAGAACTATAAAATTGATTTAGGCGAAGTTAACTAGGTATTCTAGTATACATATTTCTATATAGGTAGTTCCTTTGGGTTAGCTTGTAAAAAATTGTGAAATTGAAAACTTTAGTGAAAACCTCGGTGAAAACACTATCAATAATTCAGCTTTGTCTTATTTTTAGCTGGAAACCTTTGTACAATCAAACCCACAAATATTGTGTTGAATGAATTTAACATTACCCTGTCGGAGAAAGAGGATACTGACGATATAGAGCAATGCCAATCTGCACCATCTTTAGCCATTGACCACGTAGAACCCGTTGCATCATTATCCACCAACCCGAACAATCAACCATGTGATGGAAATGTCCCAAATAAAAGAGGAAAATGGTCCAAAAATGCAATTTTAATGCTGATAAATTTAAGAATTGAACATAATACTGATTTTACTTCCACCACACAGAAAAATGATGTTACATGGAAACTAATATCAAATAAAATGAAAGCAAATGGTTTTGAAATGACACCCACGCAATGCAATGATAAGTGGCGCTATTTGAAAGGAAAGTATACGGCAGCGAAAGACAATCGGGGAGACAAAGGATCTGGACAAGAACCAGTTGATTTTCCATATTATCAAATAATGGACGAGTTTCTTGGAAAAAAACACAATATAAAACCTATTGCGGTTGCCTCTTCAATAAGAGGAGACACAGGTACCTACCTACATATTTCTAACTTTATATTTTACTAAACTCTAAACTCTACCTCACATTGTGTCAAACGTATCACTTTTCATATTAATTTGTCATATTTCTTCTCCAAATTATCATTATGGTATTATTTATGTATACAAAAATTACAATTTTGTTTTGGTCATAAAAAGCAGCAGTAAAAGGTAGCAGAAGCAGTATCCAGTGAATTATGTAAGTCACATGAAATTAAATATATATTTTATTAAATTTTAGTGCCAAATGAAAATGCAGCAGGTTCCACGGATGCATTGCAAGAAGATGGCGATCAGGATGTTTCAAATGAAGCATCCTTGGAGGCACCAAGGAAAAAAATGAAGATGGAAATTGTCCCAAGAGTAAAGCAGAATAAAACTGGACTTTGTTCTGTTTGGGATGAGATGAAAAATTCTCGAGGAGCAAGGGAACAAAGTAAAGAACGCAGGCATCAAGAGTTATTAAATGTTAGAAATCGAGCAATTGATGTTTTTTCCGAAAAAATGGACCAATTTATTGAAAAATGTACTAAATAATTCAGTTGACTGGTAGGTCTCAGTTTGATACATTGTATTTGTATTGTATTGTACTTGTTCATGGAGTATTTTGCTCACATTCCTAAACTACGGAAGCTTTGAAAGATCAAAATTCAGAAGCACTCATTATCTCGGGATTAATTCTGATATATAGAACATAAGTCAAGAATAATCCCGACCTAGAAGCCCTATCTTAGGATTAATCCTGAGATAGGGCCCAGTTGTACAATCCTGGTTCAAAACAGAGCTTAGTTAAACTCGACTGGTACTTAAACTTTTTCATTTAAAATACATTGTTGTCAGATATTTATAAAATTCTATCAATTTTGACAGCAATGCATTTTAAATGGGAAAGTTTCAGTATCAGTCGAGTTTAGCTAAGCTCTGTTTTGAACCAGGATTATACAACTGGGCCTAAAGTCGACATTAATCTCGACTGATAAATTATCTCAGAATTAATCCGAAGATAATGCTCCTGTTGGGATTAATCCTGATTTGAAAAATAAGTCAGGATTATTCCTGAGATAAATTTGTGAGATCATCTCAGGAATAATCCCTACTTTTTTTACCTACTTATCAAAAAGGTGTAAATGCACATTTAGGCCAAGCAATGGGTAGATTTGCCTGGAAAAAAATACAGGAGTTTTCAAAATTTGTAGATTAGCACCAATTTATAACCTGAATAACATATTAAGTTTGCGACCTCGACACGCCGCCGCTCGCACCACCATATTGTAAAGATGGAGCCAAAAATCAGTTTTTTCGGAGTATCTTTTTTTCAGTAGGCCCTACGTAAATAATAGTCATTACAAGAGTATAGAGGGGAAAATTTCCTACAACTTTCCTTCATTACATTTTTCCGTGCGATCAATAGTTCAGGAGTTATATTGATATAAGTGATGGCAAATTATTTAAATCAATGAAATACATTTGCTTGCAGCTCGCCACTGCACTTGTTTTCCATATTGAGGATATTGAGATTATATCATTATATCATGACTTTTATTCCAAGCCTTGATTTTTTTTTCTTTTGAATTTTCAAAACGTCATAACTCGGAAAAGAGAGGTCTGAGAGAAAAATTTTAAATACAAATCTTGTAGATCTCATTGAGGACTACAAAATTGCTCATTAGAGTTACCCCTCTACGGGGCACCGTTTTCGAGAAAATCGACCTCGAAAATTTTGACAAATTTTCAAAAAATTTCAAGTTTGACGGCGAGCGGCGGCTTCCCAAGGTCGCAAATGAAGTATGTTGCTTAGGTCATACACCTATACTTGCCAGCCAAGTTTCAAAACTCCTGTATTTTTTTCCAGGCAAAGCACTTTTGAGCACCCCATTGCTTGGCCTAATTTGTATTTACACTTTTTTGATTACCTATTCAATCAACCTGTTCAGGTGGGGTGTAAAAATATAGGAGAAAACCCTGTACCTAAATTTTGAGCCTTTAAAGCTTCTTTACTAAACAGAGATAGGTATATTTTTTTAATTCAAGACAACCATACTTTTATCTAGTAAGATTAGTAGATAATAATATATTTATTTAGGTATGGTATGATGTACTGTAATAAGTGGTTTTTAGGTTGTATTGTTATATAGGTACTGGTGCAATAACCTGATTTAATAAACTTTTGTTTTGTCATATACAGGGTGTCATTGAAATGGTGTAAAAAATTTTGGGGGATGATAGTACCTACTCATAAAACTGGCGAAAAAAAATCCTATAAGTATGGGTTCTAAAATGCATATTAGGGGGCATAGAAACCCCTCACCCTTGGGAAAAAATACCCTTTCCGATTCAACAAATTATTTTTTGACATCATCATTTGATGGACAAAAAGTATGCTAGCTCGGATTTCTTCATAAAATTTATCTCGTTTTTTAAACCAATTTCAAAAAAACGATTTTTTTATTTATTTTCTTAACACTTTTACGAGCCATACTTATAGGAACTTTTTTTTACCAGTTTTATGAGTACTACCACCCTCCAAATCTTTTTACACCATTTCAATCAATAACAACCTGTGTAAGTAGGGTTCATTAAAAATAAAAATCAGATATTTGCAAGTTATGTTTATTAAATGATATAAAAATTGTAACGTGTTATTAATGTCTATTTCTATTTAAATACAGATTCCTGCAGATATCATTTCTCATATTTCTTCCTTCCTCTTCTTGTATTCTACCTTCTATAGCAACATTAACCTCGTCTTCATTAATTACATTATTGGCACCTTCTTGAATATAATCATTAACCTGATGATCCACCTGAGTCAAACAAATGTTGTGTAATACACATGCAGCTAATACTGTTCCTGGAATGAGATCATTTCTGTTCATGTCTAGGAATTTGAGTCTTCGAAATCTCCCAAATAATAATGCAAAAGCTCTTTCAATGACCTGTCGAGTTTTTGCATGAACAATATTGAAATAAGTTTGGGCTGGAGTTAATTGTCCTCTATTTATAAATGGAGAAATGCACCATGATAATAATGGATAAGCTTTATCTCCGATGATAAATGTATTATTCGGACAATACCTGCCACGATTGTTCCTTATTGCTCTATAGATATCAGATTTCTTAAAAATTCTAGTATCACTGACTGAGCCTGGATAACCTATAAATGCATCTATGAATAATAGATCTGAATCTGCAACTGCTTGCAAGGTGAAAGCATAATTGCACTTCCTTGTAATATAGGACTGAGGGTCTTCTTTTGGGGCTTTAATTTGTATATATGTGCCATCTACGGCTCCTATAACATTTTCCAATTGAGCAATGTTACCAAATTTTCTCTTAATTTGGTTGAGCCTTTCTCCTTCTGGCCATTTTATAACTCGAGTAGCGAGGGAATTAAGTACTTTAATCACTCTTAAAAAACAGACTGATAGGGTAGATTTGGCAATGTTAAAACGTTCTCCAACTGATCTAAAAAATGAGAAAAAAAAATGGAAATGAAATAGGTTTAATACATTTTTGGTTCCTGTGAATTCAATACCTACCTATATGAGTCTGGAGTTGCTAAAAGCCACAAAACAGCTAGTAACTGTTTCTCTGGATTCACTGTAGATCTTCCAACAACCGTTCTACGAGACAGTTCTAACCCAATCATACCCAAAAGATGTTCATAAGCATCTATAGTAACTCTAAAATGTTGCTGGAATTGTTGGCGAGTTAAGCTGGGAACTATTTCTTCGAAGTATTCTGAAATTCTGCATGGTTTAGCCAACTTCCGTTTTTTGGAAAGAAATAGCATTTCATATTCTTCTTCACTCGTCTCCGACTCATCACTTTCACTGTCGGACATAGATACGGGAATTTCAAATAAATTTTGCACAGATGGAAGAAAAATACGGCAGAAGAAGGCCATTGTGAGAATTTTACAAAAACTGAACAAACTAATTTCAAAATAACAATTTGAATAAGAATAAACTACTATAGATTAGATTAATTTAAATGTTTACAATTTTTACAAATTTGACGTTTGTCATATGACATCATAAATATTTCACAAATACGTTCATAAAAGACTTCGCGCTCTCGACACTCTGTGTGAAATAATAGCACACACTCCGTAGACACACGCTCGCACCCACACCAACGACATTTTCTTTTATGAACGCACTCCAGGTCTTAAAGAAAACTCCTAGACAGCGACAGCTGTTCAATGACAGATGTATGATGGAACTGAAAAATCAAAAAAAGTAAACAACAATCATAACCTCAGATTATTTATCATTTAGAATTACCAACTAGAGTCGATAGTACTCTCTCCTTTTTATAAGATTCTGATAATAACAGCAGGCCCTGCGTTACTGATTTAAACCTTCCTAGATCAATTAACTACAATTGCAAACCTGAACCAAAAAACTTTTAGTAGAAGGCTGTACTCAAGATAATAAAATCTGGGCATAGAAAAGATAGTCGTTTATTTATTTATTTATTTATTTATAGTTCTATATGGAATCATATTCACCAGAGCAAAACAAAGTAGCATACTTGAAGAGAAATTGAAAATACTACAATAGAAACAATATCAACAACACAAGGGAGCCGCCTTCAGTGGTTCCAAAACCGTATCCTGAGAGGAGTCCTGTCGGAATCTAGGTACGCCTACCTAGATGACGTCAGCGACAAGTTTTATAGACAGCGAATCAGTGGATCCCCTCTTAAACGCAGCATAACTGCAACGAGATATGATCCAGACAACCCCATAGTTCACGGACCTCTATACAAGAATTTACCACTCTATTTTGAATCCCCATGAGCACCCTCCAAACCCCAAAACCTCCTAACCATATTCCAAATTAAATTGAAAACCCATCCAATGCACAGCTAAAATCCAATCGTCGAGACAAAATTGGACAAGAAAGATTTGACGATGCCAGCCAAGTTCAAGGAAATTCCATCAAATGTCTTATTTCTATCCTCAGTTCTTCGGAAAATTCTAACTAGCGAGAGAATTAGTGTGTGGCTAACTCCACTTTCGCTGGCTATGAGGAAATGAACTTGTCTAATTAACTATCAATCACCCCCATTTCGACCAACAAATCTAGGCACAAATAACTGCAAACATGCATATCCTAATTCCGGTAAATTCTTGCACCCAATCCCCCAAACCCTCCTTCTCTGACATCCCATACAATCCGCATCACCTGCACCGAAACCATTACCTAGAGACTCCTCAGGACTCAGGATTGGTCAGGATGCAGGGTTGTAGAACCCCTTTAGTTCAAACCCGCGCTCACGCACAAACATCCTCAAAGCTCACTTAAGGTTAGTGAGACCGCATCCAGTGGACCAGTACGCCCAAAAGGGCACAACTTTTTTGTTTTGCCTTTTCATTAAATTAATGAAAAGCGAGGTTTTTCGCTGCTTTTTCCCGCAGAACGGGCGCCAGCGCTCTACAACTCGAACTCTGAGCACACCACCCATACCATCAGGCAGGCCACTGTAGTGACCTAATGCGTGCCATTTGTGGTATTCATCAGCGACTCTAAGGTCATAAAATCGACGTTTAAGGGCAACCAGGAAATATTTTAGTTAAGGGGCTCCAGCCCGGTAGCTTTAAGGTTTACACACATATGTAATTATTTGAAATAAAGAGTTTTCGAGTTGGA